TTTAATCACTATATATATTATATTTTAATCATTACATATACAGTAGACATTCTGGTAAGAAATTACAGCAGGCTGAGTGAGCTGGGGTTTTTCCGGCTGGAGAAGAGAAGGCTCCGAGGAGACCTAATAGCAGCCTTCCAGTACCTGAAGGGGCCTACAGGAGAGATAGGGAGGCACTCTGTATCAGGGAGTGTAGTAAGCGGACAAGGGCTAATGGTTATAAGCTGAAAGAAGGCAGATTTACATTAGGTATTAGGAGAAAGTTTTTTAATGTGAGGGTGGTGAGACACTGTAAGAGGTTGCCCAGGGAAGCTGTGGATGCCCCATCTCTGGAGGTGTTCAAGGCCAGGCTGGATGAGGCTTTGAGCAACCTGGTCTAGTGGGAGGTGTCTCTCCCCATGGCAGGGGGGCTGGAGCGAGATGATCTTTAAGGTCCCTTCCAGCCCAAACCATTCTATGAGTCTATGATTGCTTTTTCTAAGCTGAAGTTTCATTACATTCAACTTATCACATTTACATTTTTTCTCTTATACAAATCTATTGCTCAAACAATAAGTTACAATCAACTGTTAGAAAAACTTCCAAACTTAATCCTTACAAAGAACTCAGTAGATAACAAGATGGCCTATTATCTAAATATTCTTACCTGTCAGAGAATCCACAGAGGTTCTTTAAATGCTGTTTCAGCATCAAAAGTAATAATATGCCTTGGGAGACATTTGCAAATTCAATTAAAGGAGCTGAATTTTCTGGTAAACATTTCATCACAGCATTTATATCATTTTCTTCATCTGAATCTGAATCAGAGTCTACTCGTTTCCGTAACCTCCGAGGCTTAGAAGCTTCTTCCTCACTTTCGCTCTCACTACCACTGTTACTGTCACTGTCAGTCTCTTCATCTGATGAAGGTTTTCTTTCCTTTTTTTTGTCTTTCACCATAGACTGCAAGACAGAGAAGTTAACACACATTCCAAAATGAGAGCAAGTAGCATCATGTACATTTCTAAAAAAAAGTATTTCCAAAATCATTACTGGCTTAAATCAGCAAGAATTCCTTGAACAATGTTATTAATTTATAAATTTATATTCAAAATTGTAATTACTTATGGCAAAAAGATGCTGAAAAATGGATCCAAAGCCCACGTTTTCTGCAAGGTGGGTACAGAAGGAATGGAAGCACCAAGTAATCCACTGGCATGTTATTCTTAAAAACACTGCTCAAGTTCATTAGCAGTGACAATAAAATGCAGTAGAAGGCCAAATATAATAAATCAGGAAGAAAATTCTATTATTCGTTCACCTGGATATAATTTCTGTGTGTCACACAGATTTCCCTATGTACTTTGGTACAGACTAGTCCAAGCTGGTTTTAATCCTTGTCTCTTAAAAATCTATTACACTAATTGCATTGCTTAAGAGAGAAACCCTCAAGTGATCATGCACAGTATTAGTAATAATCAGTTCTACTACTTGTAGAGCTATAGAATTTCACACATGCATTATTACTGCACATAGAATAATTTTTCATAACGCAGAAGATGTCCTAAACAGGATCTCATCCTTTCTGTGCTGTTACACCCTGGTCCCCAATGTACTATCTGTTTCTATCAGATTAAAAATTGACTTTGGTAGGGTGAGAATTCAAAGCCATGTACTTCCCAGGCATTAACTCCAACTTGTACTTACTAGTCAGACTGGACATTCTAGAAACAGGTTTGTTTCCTGACAGTTTGCACCTTCTACTGTTAAAGTTGTCCAGGAAATGAAGACACTGAAGTCTTCAAGAAGCGGAGACCTTTTTCTTACAGGGTTGTGTATTGCCATAACAACTATACCATGATTCAGCTTCTGATATGCTACCTTAAACATATTGTGCACTCTTTTCTTGCAATAAACAATGTATTTAAAGTCCCTCGGGTGACACACATGCAACTGCCATCAGCTGGTTGACAACAAAATAAACAGCCAGGTGGATTTTATTATTAAAACTATACAAACAACTACAATAAACTAAGATTTCATGATGATTCTGTGTGCATGTGCTTCCAGATGCATGCAATTAATTATTATTTAGCCACATCAGGGAATGATAGAGATAAGACCTCAAAATTCATCATTCTTTTTTAATCATGTAAGCAGCCATGTAAGAAAAGTTTTTAATTGGTGTCTACCAATGCAGGCCAGAACAGTAAGTGTTGCTCGCTTGTAACTCCTGGTTACAAAGTAATGCTGCTGGTCCATTTCCTAATAATGGTACTGTGTTCACTGAAAAATCGACCAAATTATAGAGACACTTATATATACACAATAAATATGCTAAAATGTAAATGCACATACCTCTTTAAATGACTGTAGCAGGTTGCTACCAGAAACTGATAGTGTAATGTCTATATGATGCATTATAAAGAGAGGCTCCTCCTGTGTTTGATAAGGAAAACAGGCTAGATTGTCTGCTATGTACAAAAGCATATTCACCTCTGTTTTCTGGAAGTTAAAAAAAAAAAAAAGTATATATAAATGCACATACAAATATCTTAGATTGATACACTTATCCTGTGTTCCTAACAGTCAAGAGCAAAAACCTGATCACAAATTTTATTCTACACATCTTGACAAACCCACTCTAAAAAACATGTATATATGCAAAATTTAGTTATACCCGAAGATAAATTACTTCTGATGAGTCCAAACTGGGTATAGAGAGGAACAGAATGATGCAAAAGTGACAAATACATTCTATTACATAGGTAGTATTATATACATAAAGACCTTATATTACAAAGCAAAACAAAGTATATGAGGGAAATAAAGTTATCAATAATTATATTATAAAAATACATTCAGAAAGGAGAATTTAAGCTTGTAATGCTGTATTTTGATTTCTTTTTAAGTGAAGGAAATGTGATGCTTACTGCAGTATCATCAAAGAGGTTGAGTAAAGAAATTAGAAACGCTCGTCTATGTTGACGGTTCCCTCGGATCATGGAGTATAGGTGTGAACACAATGCACTGGATGATTCATCGTGTCTAAAACCTCTCACAGGATCTTTTGGGCAGGTATTAATTGCCTGTTGTACCTGGTAAGACATCTTCATACCAGCCACTGCTTTCATCTGAAATGGAAATGTATTTATTTTTATTTAAACCATTGCTTTCAAAGCAGTAAACCTTACTTCTTTGAAGTGGATGGTCATCTGAAGTTTTAACTTTAAAATATGCAGAGGTGATGCTACCTTTTGAGTTGGGAAATGGATTAAAACAGAACTTGTGACATCAAAATGTCTTGTGAACTGCTTTAACTCTAAATTCTGTTAGAAACATACAGCTCATCTGTTTACCCGCTACAGCCAGGCATCCCAATTTAAACAATTTTCAAGAATACTGAAGTGTTTTCATACATTACAAAATGTGTATGTTTGATGTCACTTGTAGTAAAACCAACAACTGAGGCCATATTAGTGCAACAGCACTAACAAACAGAAAATGAGGGGGTTTTTACATATATCCTGTAATTTCTATCTGATTTTACTTACTTCAAGCCTCCTGCTCTAGTTTCAGAACAAACAATCTCTAGTTAGGCTGCATATCCAACTCTCCTCATACCACCTCTGCTGCTGTTCAGCATAGTTGTCCTTTTCATCTATACATTGTCTTTAATGTGGCTACGTAGGAAATTTAATCTGCTAGCCTTCACCTACTGGATTAGGTATTTGTCTGGATGCCATCAACAGTGCAATGCTCCAGTTGCAGTGGAATACAATCAGATATTGGAAGTCCCACAATATAGTATGCACACTAAACCTAGATTTGGGCCTTTTGAAATAAGGAGAGGGTACTGCAGCTCAGTTTCAGATTTTAAGCAGAATTATTGACACTATGCCACAATTTCACACGTCCCTACTTATCCCTCATGTTTTCCTTTTGCAAAGGCTCAGATCTAAACATCTTCCTATGTGCCTTCTGCTTATTTTACAATTTTTAAGCTCTTCATACCTTAACATTCCAATACATATACAATAGGGACTTCTACTTTTACAGAGTTCTCTTCCCTAGGCCACCAATAGAGGAAAATAATTGCTAAACATTATGAAACAGCTGTTCGTAACTCATCAAATAAAGGCTCTGAAGTACTATTCAGTGAGGAAAATATTACTGTGAATTATAAATTAAAGGAAATTTTGTATTGGAAAAGACATTTCAAATTATTATATCCTTTCTATTTCTAAGAACAGAAATCTCCAAACAGGGGAAGAAATCAAAATCTTCTTTACAATTATAGTTGTTATTTGTTACTCGATATTCTTTTTCTTCAGCTGAGGCATACTGAGGTGATAAACCGCTAGAGAACATAACAGTATTTTGTAAAATGTTAAATTAAAATTACTTACATGAATGAACCCAGCATATTTTTTGTCTATTTCCACCAACTGCTGGTCAGCTTTATTTCGCATAGAGGGCTCTGGATCTGTGCCCATAGCAATTAAGTATGGCACACACTTGAAAAACAAACAAAATTATTATTCAGAGTAATTGCACCTCCTCTTTCTCAGTCTTTGTTCTTCTACTATACTGTTGTTCTTGTTATATTCTGACTACTGCAAAACTAGAATAGGAAGCTGTGTGCAACTTACCACCCGACTACTTTTTGCAAGCAAATAGTACAAAATACACGAGAGACCAGCATTATAAATGACAGAACCTGTGTGGGGTTTCAGGTAGTATCTCCCTTTCTCTCAAACTATGAAGTCAATTTACACTACAAAAAGTGCCACTAAAAAGCATACACCTGAAATTTGTAACAGAAATTTGCTCCAATGTACATTTTACGTGTTCTTTAGACATGGGTTTTTACATCTTGATCCAAAAATAGAAAATACAGCACTGGAATCTCAGTGGCTAAACAACACAAAACATTTCAAAATATGCTTTCTGTAAAGGCCCCTTGCTAAAATAAGAAATTACTGTAACACAGCAGGAAGAAAAAAACTGGAAATTTATGTAGCAAGTGTGAAATCCTCTGAAAACATGAGTAACAAAAGCCTCCATCAGAAAAGCCCACCATACCTGAACAGGATGGATGAGACCCTGGTTTAGCGTCAGTGCAATGACATTTAGAGCAAAGTGGCGTACACTGGACTGAGTATGAAAGAAAGCCTCAAGGACCTGTTTGAGATATAGCTGCATGATGGAACTACTCATCCCTGAGGAAATATCACCCATTTCTTTCAGGTCTTCCTGTTTTGCTACTTTTTTCCCTGTAAAATGGAAAAAAGCAATAGTACACTCACCACAGTATAATCATTTACTTTGCCATTACTTGATGCATGCTGATCTTTAAGCTTTACAATACATATACATTTCAGCTGTCTCAGAATGGGTTTATGATCTCATGAAATGTAGAACAGTCCGATGGTAAACATACATCAATAAGAGACATGACTTTAAGTCTTGTTCCTTAATAAAGGTTTTTCATTACAAAAATTTATGTTGTATTTATTATTTTCTGTCCGCAAGTTAACCTTAGAGGAGATTTTGATAAAAAGTATTACTACCATCATTAGAGCAATTATGCATTCTGAATTGCTCCCAAGATTTATACATCTTCAAAGTAAACAATATACCTATTATATGTGTATATACCTATGCACATAATGAATTTTTTAGCATTATTCTAAGATACTTCAGGTACAATATTATTGATCAGATAACAATCTTATGTTACTCAGTTCACATATATAGTAATTGTATGCAAGAAAGTTAGATTTTACATGCCTCATTAGCACAGAAGAACTTGACACTTACAGTCTCTGTCTGCCTGCTGCATACGTGTATCCTCCTCCTGCAAGTACGTCTGGAGGTTTTTTAACACCTGGATTTTTAAGTTTACTGAACAGTTCTTATCTGAAAGGATGCTGTTGTACAGAGTCTTCACCTCCTGTTCGAACATTAAACTTGGGTGTTGTATAAATGCAAATCCTAAGGGTATAAAAAAAAAGAGGAAACATTCCCCATTATTATTATCTAGAAATTGCATTTTTGCTTCTTAAAAATGGAGGTATGAAATCTATCTCCTTCCAAAAGCATAGCTTTTTCTTGTCCAGACAGTATTCCTTCCATCCATGGCTTATAAGGAGTTCTGTTAGCCATGACAGGTTCTATTAGCCATGACTGTTTAATGGATAAAGAGGTGTTGACCCAGGGCAGCTGCACTAAGAAGAGTTATACAGGTCTGGAAGCATGTCTAGTATAGTGGCCTACATCTGAATGACTAGGAGCTTTTGCAAGAACAAGGGAGGAACTTTATTTAAAATTACACATTGTTTTTCTAGTAAATCGGGAGAAAAACATTCTGCTGAAATTGTGAAGTTATTCATATGGAAGCAAATGTGGAAAAATTGATAAATATCACAAGTGAAAAAAAAACCAGCGAACACAGTAAAATTTATACCTCTTGCTGTCATCATTCATATACCTATTAAGGTCTTATCTTGAAAACTATCTGAAGCGTTCCTAAGATTACATCTGCTTGAAGATACACTCTACAGAACTGGTTTTAGCTGCAGCCTTACCCTTGTTCAAGGAACTGGTTGTTCTTAAGACTATATTTCATTAAAACTTTTCTAAATTAGTGATAGTATATACAATTTTACATCATGTAAGTAGATTTAGACATGCTGCTGAAAAATTCTTACAGAGTATGATTAAAAAAAAACCTAATCGGAACATAACATCCCAATTTAAATTACGTTTGACTACTTGATTTATTTTTTTTTAAGGCTGTTCAAGAAAAGCAGACATTAAATGTATTTTTCATGACCACAGCAAACAAAGATTCTGAATTAACGTAGAGAAAATATATTAATATAAACAAATGGGGGAAAAAATGAAAGCAAATAAAATGATAAAAAACAATGCATAAAACCAGCTGTGACAAAGGGAAGACCGAGTCAAGTTTTTAAGACTGGCTTCGTGCACACAGAAAAGACAGTGCAAGTAAAGGCTAAGTCCAGGGCAAGACTTCCATGTGTTTAGGATCTCATTTCAGTCTCAAAACAAGAAGCAGAGAGAAGTATGTGAGGCAGAAGATAAAGAGGAGAAAAAGCAATCATCATCGTCTTTCGAGTATGTGGTATAACTGCGCACTCTATACGGGTGTTATTTACATTTATAACTTGACCACCTCTGAACAAGTCCAACCCATTTCTTTAGGTTAATTTGAAAAGTAGAAAAGCACATGCATGTATGTTTAATAACCTACAACACATTTTTACCTTAATTCACTTAAAGGAACCTAAACCACCGATATTCTCAGGGTAAATCTTATTTTTCCATCCCTTGTAAGCGGGGAAGAAATCTTACTTGGTGTAAGAATTTATCATAGGAGATGAAAAAAGGCACCTGCTGTGTTCTTCTAAGGACTGACTTCACATCTCAGGGCTGCCCTCACACCACTCTCTTCATACCTTTGTTTTCACTCTGTTAAAAGTCTTAAAAGTAAGTGCTGAACTTGTCTGAGTAAGACTTAACCTGTCAGACACTTGGAAGTTTAGCTAAACTTACTAACAAAATTTTATACGCTCAACCTGCCTTACAAGTACAAATCTAGAAGAGAAGCATAACCATAACCATTAAGCTTATGATTAAGCTTAATCCCTCAACAGCTGTGACACATGCCAAAGCAAAGGCTAAAACTGTTGAGTGTCCTTACTAAAACAACACACTAATAATTGCTGATAGGAAAGCACACACTCTTCACGAGATGCCTTCACTGTATATAAATGTTGAATTAGCTTGCTCGTCCTTTCCACCTTATTGCTGCACACAGACGTTGAATGGTTTTGACAGCTTTGCTCAATTACCAGCTTGTAGGAACTTTGCACTGTCTACCACATCTCCATACATCCAAGAGCTACCCTCAAAATGGAACCAGCACTTAGAGGAGGTTGATACATCACTGAAACCATTGTCCAAGGTTTTGTTAAAACAAAGACTGATATGCTTTCAGGTGGAGAAAAAAAAAATCTGAAGAATGCCTGCTGAGAGCCACCCCTGTTTTCCCCTTTTCCCCTGAACTGATCACAGTTCAGACTGTAATTTAGAAACATTTCTGGTGAATGCAACAGTCCCTATCCCATATGCAATATTGTGTAAAAGATAATTAAATTGGACTGGACTACAGTAAGTGTTGCGCACCTTTACATAGTATCTAGGAAAACTCCAACAAGTCCAGAAAACCATAGCATTGCTCCTGCAACAGAAGCAACTCTAAAATAATTAATTCCTCTCAGCTGTCTGAAATGGTTTCTCACAGAATACCGAATTAAGATTAAGTCTCAGTCCTTAACCTTGGAGCCCTCCCAAGCTTGAACTGAAGCAGTATATCTAAAACACCACCTGAAAAGCAGTATGAAGAGGCAAATTCTTGTCCACAGTTAAACTACAGAATGGAAGGTCACATGCCTGGGAGACAACTTTCTTTAGACTAAGCCATAGCCATGAACTGAACTCTCCAAAAACCAAGGTCTATCTGCCCAAACAAGATTCCCTTACATGTACAGTTTTTGTCCTTAAACAGTGGATGAACACGATACAAACCACTCAATGACAGTTCATGTACTACTGCAAGCCAGTGAAATACCATAGTAATGCCTTCAGATAAAGAATCTTTTTTGAAGTGAAATACAGATAAAATCCTGAAACAAACTGTAAGATCTAGACTGTGACATCATCTGAATGCCTCGTGAAATCTCCCAGAGCACTCCCTAGTTGGTATAAACTGCCAGAGTTCCTTAACTCCTGCAGAATATCTGCTCCCACACTTACAATGTTCAGAGTTTTTCCAGCACTTTTTCTAGTTGTTCTTTAACCATAGTTTGTGGACTGAAAAACAAGATCTGGAGTTACAACATGCTTGGATGTGGAGGAAAAAACCATCTCCACTACTTTGGAAATCTGCTGCACTTTAAGACTTGGTCACGCATCAAAAAGCATTCACTGTCAAAAGCATCCACTCTGCTACAGAAGTATGCAAGTAGCAATCTTTTTACCAACTTTTGTATAGCCAGTTCTCAAATAAAACATGCAGTAAATTTTGATTTTAAACAAACTCCCTTGCCACTATACACATACATGAATTCCTATGGATATGCATATGGATATTTTTACTATACCAGAATAATAAAAACTATTAATATTTCTTACCAAGGCCAATAATGGCTTTTGTCTGTACTTCTTCATCTGAATGCTTTGTAAAATACATCAGCAGTTCAAGTACTTTATCCTTAATGTTAACCTGAGCAAATTAAAACAAAAATAATAGCTATTTGAGGATGAAACAGATGTTTTTAATCTCTTTACAAAAAGCATAAGTGTCAAAAAGAAAAGAAGAAACACAATCTTACTGCATGGCCTTTGCAAAACCACATACTTAAAAACCAGAAAGCTATATTGTAATCATTATTAAAAAATACATAGCTTTGAGGGACTAGGAATAATCTGCTTTTTAATTAAAATGGTGTATTCAATGTATACAAGACATGGCGCATAAAGACAAGTTATTTTACCTTACTGTTGCCCTTAAAATCTTCCTGATCAAAATCAAAATGCCGACACAGTGCTCCAACAGTGAAAAGTGATCGAAGGAGTGCTGGTTTATTGGCAGTAAGTATTGTACTGTTGGGGTCTTCTTGGTGTTGACTTTTTAATTTTGAAAGTGCACCTACAGTAAGACAAAAGTTTTGACCACAGGGATACATCATGATTAAACACTAAGACAAGGCTTAAAGCCAAAACTGAAAAGTGATAATTGCATTTTGTGATTTTTCTTACCATAGTATCTATTAAAACAGGCCCACACAAATTTATAGTTCTGGGTAACCTTGTTCACAACAGCCCCAAGACAGCTCACACAATGCTGAACAACCTAGGAGCAAGAAAGAGCAAATGAATTATATATTCAGAAGTTAAAATTGAGGTACTCATGAAGTTCTGTAGGAAAAAGCTATGCTGAACTAAAACTAACAATCTAATGGACGTGATGTCAATCTCCTAGACTGCTCTGAAAACCTGCCCAAACTCATTAAATTATAGGAACAACACACACAAATTCTAGTAAACCAACACACAAATTCTAGTAAACCAAGTACACTGATTTGTCATGGCTCAAAAGACAGATTTCCTGCAAATCAAAACCATGTATTTCACAATGTGAAATGGAATCAACTGAATAGTAGCAATTAAAAGCTTACCGTCATCCCATATTTGATGATGAGTTTCATGAGGTCTTCCTCAATAGTGGCAAGAAAGGTCTCACTTGGGTGCTCCATTAGTGGCACTACAAGCTCTAAGATTTTTGCAACATTGCAGATCACCATGAAATCATTCTGGGTCTGAAACAGTAGTATTTACAGCATTTAACATTTCTGGCCATGTTACCTATAAGCTAAGTATTATTAATATATGCTGGTAGTAAAAAATGCCAACTCATACAAGATACTTGGCTCAGATCTAAATGAATATTTGTATAGTTTACATCTGCTATCAAATTACACATTATTATAAAAGGTAGTTCTGTTTTCTACAGAACTTCTGGGAAAAAAAGTCTGTGCAAGCAGAATTTCACCTCTCATCAAGGCTATGACAGACCTGAAAACTTTTGGTACTGATAATTTTTAGGAGTCATACAATAAATCTAGGAACTCTTCCTGATATATGCACACTAGAGAACACACAACACCTGGAAACAGGTATTAGCAACAAAATGAAGTTGTGCTATGACTTTACATGCCTTAAACTAAGTAAGAATGTGCACAAATGTAGAAATTACAATTAAAGTAACTACTGATTTGCATTATGTATGTATTGTAAGTGATGAATCTATGAAAAACATTTACCTGTTAAAGATACATCCTGCTAAAAATTGACTTTTTTGACAAATCAAGCTCACTAATCAGGATAGTATATTTCCCAAATACTAGTATCAAGCTTTTTAACATATTTAAGCTGACAGTGGTAATTCTGCAATTCATCTCAACATGTATAAGTACAAAACCAATGTAATCCACTAAATGGGTTGAAGCAAGTAAAGAATCAGATAACCCTTTCCCATACTGTTGATAAGAAGCAGCAATAAAAGCCTGTTGTAAATGTGCCTACAGAACATTCCAAGGCTGAACCTGGAAAATGTTAGGCTATACCTACAAGTGAAGCTGATAACAATTACTCTCAATCCTGCCCTGGGCAGCTGACTTAATATATTGGATTGCTGCCACCCACAGTCCTCCCTGAGCCACGGCTGCATGACCCTGCCCTGCTCCTTCTGTCAGTCAGATCAGGCTTCATCACAATCTTCACTAAGCCAACTGTGCTAATCAAAATGGCAGAAAGCACTGCTATGTTTTAGAGCAGGGAGGCCATTTTACCAGAGTACAGGGTTCAGCATTATAGCTTTCTGACATTTTTGTGGGCTAAACTGTCTTACAGGGAAATACAAAAAAACAAGAGCTAGGAAAGTGAGAAGTGAAGTCTGGAAGAGGATAGAGCAGGACATTTTCCATCTGATGTATTTGTTGCATATTAGATCACTCTACCTTACAGAACAATACCTTTAGTCTTAAGATTCATATGTTAAATATTAACTACTTTTAAGACTGTGACTATAAAACAGAACAATTTTAAGATATCATTACACAACAGGTGAAAACCTGGGTCTTAGTCCTCAGGGGAAAGAGGCAGCACAGGTTTCAGTTTCATTTGGCTGTAAACTGTGGATGTAGAGTGAGGAACAGCATCTTATAAGTTACAGAGATAATGAAAAGGACCTACTATCTTCAGAAGCCATGATGCCCATGAAATAAAACCACAATTTTAATTTTCCTTTTTCTACCTTCAATTTAATCAAGTATACAAGACAGGCATTCATTTCTATGCTTAATTATCTGGGGAAGAAAAAGACTGATTTTCTGTACTTACACTACATTTAGTGGTCAGATATGGCTGCATGGTCATGGCATGTTTGACCATTAGCTGGGGCCTGATTTTGCTGAATAAGAACAAAGTGGTTATGCAAGCAACCAAGCGACCAGAATTCACACCTTTGTTGTCAGAATCTGCAAAAAATAGAAAATACCAAAAGAATATTAAGTCCAAGTAATGCCTGAGCAATGAAAAATATACAGCTTAAACATCATATGAATATCTTTCTCATTACATACCTTTCAATATCAAATACAGCTTATTCTTAATAGATTAGAGATGAGAACATAATGTGTCAACATATGTATGTGATCACAAAATACGTTAAATAAGAAGCAAAGACGCTTCAAAATAATCACTGGTTTTAAACTATTTACTGTACACAGAACACTGGCCCAGCCAATAATTCCTATTACAACTGTAGAACATACTAACACTAATAAAACTTGCAACATTTGCTTTGGTTTTAGTTACCTAAAGGTTGGAAGAAGTTATTTGAACAGTAGTTCTGTTATTGTGGTTAGCTAATGCAAATTAAAGAAGCTTTATTATACACTGCTTAAAAGTTCACAATGAATATTCATTACTATCAGTTTTGTAACAGGAATTCTTTGTAACAGTAACTTGTCACAATAGTAATTGAACAACCACTGTTACAGCATCATATCAAATTCAAAGGAGTTTAGCTAGTGCGTTGTAAATAATACTACCTGATAAAGATTCCTCATATTTAAGAATGTGCTCAACCAAATTGTCAACAAGCTGAGTACAGGCTTTCTTCACAGGTTTATATGAGGCATCCTCTTCTGACTTCAACAGCTGTAGCAGATGAAACAGAAAATTATTTAGTATTAAGGGTGCATTCATTTACATTGCATACATGCTGGTTTTATAACAATTACTACAGATACGTAAGGATGTTACACTACAAAAGTATTTATTTAACTTCTCCATAAAAGTTACATGGTAAATAAAAAATTAAGGGAAGTAAAAAATCAAACCAAAATGCAAGAGAAGTAAAGAAAAATTAACAGCAATAAAAAAACCCAGAAGATAGAAGTTCTACTGATTTTTGCACTGGATGAAAGCTAACTGTGTGCTTAATGAAATAATGCAGGAAACAGTATTGTAGTCACACTTGCCAGCAGTGACTAATAGGAGTTAAAATGCTTTCTAAAATGCTTAAGAAAAAAAAAATGTTGTTTCTGACACTAAGCAAAAAAAAATCAAACAAAGATTAGTTTTATGAATATTTTAATTCGTTAGCCTTCTTCCATATGACTCTGGGTACTGAAATTGTGTTCATGAAGATCCTTTAATATCCAAGAACGACTGAAACCATACTATAGCCTTTCCTTCACTGCAGGCATTAAGAGGTTCTGGTTTCCTTCGCTACCTATTTTTATGGCAGTCCGGGCTAAAGTAAAATCAAAAAGTCTTTCTTGCTTGAAAATTAACCAGCGCATAGAGGATGCAGAGGAGAATCATAACACAGGCTAAGAGATAAACAAAGCAAGCTCAATTCTTAGAAAAACCAGAGTAAAATATGATCCAGAAGTAACCTATACTCTGAAGATTCATTGCTTCTATGAACTGCGTAAAAAATGTGGTGTGAAAATACACTTATCTACCATTTAAGAAATGTCTACATTGCACTAGATGCCTCATTTCAGAACAGAATTAAGTATCATAGCTGTGGATTTCATGTTATGTCACTCATTATTGAAGGGACTACAAAATCAAAAACAAACAAAACCCCTCCCAAAACCAAGAAGTGAAGTTTAAAATAGATCATACAGAAAGACAGAAACTAATGTAAGAGACAAAGAAAATTGCACCAATGAAGATTAAAAAAAAAAAGTCAGATGTTTAAAAGGCACGAATTGAATTTGTCTACCGTAAAGTTTTGCTCTTGTAGTCCCCCTTCAATCTGTTTTAGTACCAAAAGAAATGTTGAAATTCTAACATTGATTGCACCACACATTCAAAATTAATTACTTACATTTTGAAGAAGCTGTTCAAACCAATCATACCCTGTATCTCTACAAGCTGCAACCTAGAAGTACGTTTGAGAATAAACTGGTTAATAAAAAAGGTATCTAAAGAAAAAATTATTTCAATACAGATGTAATCTTAAAAGACCAGTAAACATACATAGATATATTTTCATAGGGATTCAGTACAATAATTTTATTTCTTTGGAGATAAGAAATTGTCTTCTGCATTTGAAAAATAGTTCTCACCATTTAAGTGACTCCAGAACTTGTATTCCATACAACACAGGGCCTACACATTTTACTGGAGATGGCTGGCTCTAACATAAACCAAATTTGAGTTTTGCAGAACATTTTGCACAGATTAAAGCACAAATACAGTCCTGACATATTAAAAATGAACATGTGTGTACACATATGTATATACACATTTTTATACAAACAAACCAAGCCTTCACAGGCATCATACGTCAGGAACATCTCACAGGTGCTCCACAGTAGCATGGGTAGGAGAACTGAGAGTTAAGCTGAAGTCAAATTGACTGACTTCTCAGTCTGGAAAAATGCACACTAGACTACCATTTTGTAAATATACTGAAAAGCAGGACAAAGTTTAAACCCGTATTTGTAAGTAGTGGAGTGAGTGCTTTTATTTGACATTTACATCTTGGTATAATTGATATTAAAACACCCTCTCAACACAGTGGTTTTACACAATGTATTTTCACTACGAGTCACAGCATTTTATTTGAAACAGATTTTGTTATTTTGGAGACATACTATTCAATTTGCTGTTCCTAAAAGAGTAGATACAATTATGGAGATAGTAGTTTACCTTGAGAACATGACCTTGTATTTGTTAAAATGGATTACTAACCTTTCAAAACGAATGTTACCCATTGTTCCAGGAAAATTTTCTTTAAGAGACAACTTCTTAGTTAGGCTTAACTATATGCTGCTACTAGCATTTCTTGGAAAATGTTAAATATAATAGAAATTTGTTGCGTTTTAGCTGAACAAGTATTTTACATAGTGTGGTCCCAATTACCATTACCAGTAGACTAGTGATCATTTGAAATTTCTTAAAGCCTGTTCTATCAGATGAATAATTTTGGCATATATTCAATGCCAGAAGATATAAAAAGAAAACCATCTGACAATTAAATTACTGTATTCTAAAAAACTACAGACAATATTTCAAAGATACTAAAATAATCAGATTTTGCACACAACTCAAATTTGTTTAACGTACCACATCAGTGATGTTTAGTATTTTCCTTGTCATTGCTTCTTTGTCATGGTGTGGAGTTGGAGTAAACCAGAGCTTCTGGAATGTCTCATTTACTAATTTCTGAAGGAAAAGAAGCATTAGCAAACTTAAACAAACTTACCTTGGCGTGCAGGTATTATTTCTAATATATTCATACAATATATTTGCCAATGATATGTGTCATTCCATAAGAAATTACTTAAGTGAGACTGTTGTAGGAAATGTTATCTGAGACAGACCCAGATCTACTAGTACAGGAGTTATACCAACCTCTAAGCAAGCTTCAGCAAAATGATCACTGGGAACTGATTCTACAGAAAATGGAGTTACCACCTTCCTGCATTAATTTGCATTCCTCAGGAAGACACAGTACCCTGAGCAGCTGACAACTGAACACGAGATTGTGATTTCTACAGCAGAACTAGCGGCAATGGTAGGTTACTCTGGAGTTTGCAAAACAGCCGTGACAAGCTGGGCAAGAGAAAGAAGCAAGTCTCTCTACCCAAACACAGAAAGTGTTCTTGGATAGAGGAAAAAATTGAATAGAATGAAAAGTGAACACAATTATTCCCAAATTACTTATAAGGCATATGGTTCTAAGAAGCTCTCTTCATTCATTAAAACTTCAAAAATACATTGAAGACAATGCCTCCTTTTTTTTCGGATGTTGTTAGAAAGGCAAGGGCCTTCCCAGTAGCATCATGAATCCACCTGTTCATCTACTTCTTGATTAACAGTCTTCTTAGAAAGCCAACTGGCATTAACGTATCTCAAGTGGTAAAAATATATGCTGCAGCTTTAAAGTTGCAGATTTCAAATCCCACTGGAACTGTGATATAAAATTATTACAGGTGTGTTCTTAATTACCCAACAATTTTAAAATTATTTTACCAAATCAAACAAAACCATCCTTGGCAGGTTTACGATTTAACACATAAGGTTAGTTTTGTGCCCTTCTGCATATACATTGCACAAAGAGTAGAGTATGATCACATAAGTAACATTTTAGCGAGTAACTGATTCAGCGAACATTCAGAATTAATGCAAAATTAGCACAGATGATACTTTATAATTTTTATATGCAGAACTTACAAATCTGGCATATACTAATGTAAAGTACTTAATTTTGACTTAAAGTTTATTTTGCTTGCAGAAAGAATTTGCCAATTTTACTTGTTAGAAAAGAGAAGTTCTAGAGACAACACTTGCAAGAAAAAACCTCTAGAAAATAAATTTTCAAAATCTTTTTTCAGCAAAAACTTCAATAAAATAGAAGACAGAAAAGAAAGTAAAACAAGTCAGCATTTCAGAAAGCTAAGATATTTGCTCTCAAAAATTAAAGTAAATAAAAGCAATAAATGTTACGAAGGAGCAACACAATACTTTTTGTGGTTTTTTTCCGTCAAAACATAGAAACACTAAAATAACAATAATTAAAATCCTGAAGGATATGTTGCATTCTACCTTAATGCCTTCTTCATCATTGACTCTCCGAATCATTTTCACACACATTTCTGTTATTTTGGGAAATGTCGGTTGTTCAATGCAGATGTCCCTAAGTATCTTTATGACTCTTTTTCTGACACTGATACCAGTATCCTGTGAAGATACAAAGCAATACACTCTTGAAAACAAACCAGAAATATGAATTAGTTAATGGGTTATATGAATTAATATTTGAAGATCAACCAATCGGACATGCAAAATTTATTTAGGAAAGGCAGCTAAAATATTCTGGAGTGCATTTATATGAAAGGTCAGCATAACTTATACCACTTTATTTGCAACAATTCTAAAGCTTCTGGCTGAGTCGCCAGAATGCTGAAACACTTCCTCCATACCCTCCTGTCTAAGAGCTCGTGATGTTGCAAATGTATAATTCAACTTCTTAATTCAAGAGTTTACAAGCTAGTTGTGATGGTGCTTTAGTTCCTTTGTTGGAACACACAAGATTCTTTGTAGATCTGGACTGTAAGACTTCAAGCCTTTGTATAAAGCTAATGGATAAGATAAATGCAGCAAATCTCCTCCACTTTCCTAGGCTTCATCTAAGGAGATGGATAAGGAGCTTCACTTCATATTACCTTATTCAAAACCTGCTTAATCTGAATGTCAGGGTGAACTATAGGAAATGAGTCATATTTGACTGAAAACCTGACATGGATGCTAAGAGCTAATGTTATCTTACAGTCAAATTAATACTGTGTTTTATTTGAATGCCCAGACAAAAAAAACTTTTTGGTACAAAAACTCTAATAAGAAGCCTTTTAAAACATTAAAAGTAGCATAGAAAAGCAAAGTCGTTTCATCTATTTTTTGTTTCGGATTACAAATGGCAGCTTTGTACTACTGTATTGCAGATCTTTCTTCGTCACCCACACTACTGAACTGTCCTCAATGGCCTATATCTCAGACTTCAGAGATGTAGCAAAATTCCACATTTCACCTAATCTGTGCCTTACTAATGGAATCAAAAGGAATATAATCCAGGTTCTGATGTGGTACAACTTTCTATAGGTGTTTACCTTTTGACATAACAAAGCCTTGCTGGAAAAAAGTGATACATTTTACAAGGTTGGTCTTAAAAGCATGATGCTCCCCATTAAACAATAAGATATAATTTATTCTTGGGATCATCATTCCATATTATTAAACAGATAAACTCAGATTTTTCAATGCCACTTATTTTATCATAAATATCACAAGTCACTGTACCAATATTCTTTCAATCAGCATGTCATAATACTGCTCAGCAAGCTGAGGACGACAGAGCACAAATCGGCCAAGCAGCTCCACAGCTGCTTCTCGTACACTAGTGGAGTTATCCATTAACCGTCCATGAACACCTCGTTGCATATCCAGCTAAAAAGAACAAATGAAACACAGATTCAAAATAAGAAATGAAGATTTATTTTAAGCGTGACAGAAGAATGTATGTGCATGACGGATATTTCTTTTTTACCCTGGCTAGAATACTGGGGTCTACAGCAACAACCTCAGACAAACACTTCATGGCTTTTGTTCGAACAGCAATTGCATTTTCACCAAGTACACGCAGAATCTAATAAGAGAACAAAAACAAAGATTCAATTGCTTTGGGAAGGTAGCAAACAATGTTTAACAGGCAAAATGCAGCAGAATAACATGCAAACAGTTTAACTTAAAAAAGAAATAATATCTGTCTACTAAAAATTGAATATATGTTCTCAGAAAGTAAAGGTGCATGCAAGTGATGTTTCATGGCACTGATAACTGAGCATGGATATTTACTAGGATTTGCTACATCTCCAAGACTGGTGCAAACAGCATTTACACAGGGTCCACCTGTTCACTTTAAGTTCCTTCACTTTAAACTCTACTTTTGTCATTCAGTTGTGGGTTTAACCATGATTCTTTTAACAGAAGAGTTGGATTTGGGCACTACAATTTTAAGAAAGGCTCTGTATGCAGAGCGGTATAAGTAATGCAACCTGAACTAGTACTGGAGTTCAAACATGTCACCATACCAACACGTTAATGCCCTTCTCCCAGCAAAAGCAAAGAAACAACACTCTCAGCACGGATCCAAAACATAGCCTCCCACTAGCTACTATGAAGAAAGTTAACTCTGTCCCAGCTGAAACCAAGACATCAAACAACAGCTTCCAAAGTGACAGTAACATGCCCAGCAAGCAACTGACAAAGCTGGCTTGTATTTTCAAATCAAATTAAGCTCAATTTAATGAGTTAACATTATCAAATGAGCATGCATCTTACAGAAACTATGGAAACAGTTTCAACATTTTGTAATTATATTCTGTGTACTTCTATTTATAATGATTTTGCCATATACATACACGGAGAAATAAAATAATGAATATATAGTATGACATAAATGCATGCAAGAAAAAAAAACATATTCACTTATGTCATCAATACAGAACACGAAAGCACATGGTGTTATCATGGCTTGTTAAATACCTGTGCTCAGCAATGAACAGATATTGCACAGTACAGCAAAAGTGTTTGGAATCAGAAATCAACTGTGTTTCACTGTACTAACACTTCTGGCACAGCTTACCTGTGTCAAATAAATATCAAAGCTCTGGGCAAACGGCCTCATAGAGGCCAAATAGCGAACAATCAAACATGCATCTTCATAGTCCACAGTATCAGAATAAAACCTGCAACAAATCACACGTGTTAATTAGGACATGCTTATAAAACATGATTTAAAACATCAAATGCATAGCTAATAAAGAAATAAGTGGTACTGAAACATACTTTAATGTACTGAACTGAGACGGAGCAGTTTTAATGATGCTGCGAAGAAACTTTTTGCGACTTTCTGCTCTATGCATGATTTGTCCTGTGGTCTCAACATCTTTTGCATGATGAGTTCCTTCAGATGAATCCTCATCCTTCTGAGATTTAATTGCTTTCTCTGTCTCCATAGTTGTATCACGGAACCACTGAGCTATATAAAACTTCCGAGAAAACTGGAGGAATATAGCAGGATGCATAGAAAACAGAAACAACCGATACAGAAAGGGAAAATTAACAGATTTAGAATGAGATTGAGTGAATCTAACGCATCAACAGTATTTTGGAAAACACAATCAACCGTATATGTTATGATGACAATTTAATTGAAGCACTAATATTGATAAGCAAAACAATTTTATTCAGTAGGTGTTACTGAAATTATTTTTATATATACTTGACATCAGAAAGCTGAAATTTACCACTAATGATGCATCGGTTTCTGTGTTCTCATCCAGATAATCTAGCAAAGCCTTTTGCAGCTGTTGAATTTCATCTTCTCCTCCTGAAGCCTGTCAGAAGCAGAATAACAGTTATAAAACAGAATATTGCACAGTGGTAATTACCATCTGAAAATAAGTATGTCCACATATAAAATACACTGAAGTCAGTTGTTTTGATAATTGCAGAACATTAACAATTTTTTAACCAATTACTTATAAAATGCACAGCGACTGAAACAAATTCAGACTGTGGCTCTAAAGTCTAAAAAAACTTAAGAGAAGAATAAGACTGGTTTTAAAACAGACTGACTGATTTGAATAATTTTCATTTATGATCTTGTCTGAAGACCCTCTGTCATAGAGGAAAAAAGAAGGGAAGCAGATGGACACAAAGTTTAACCTATAAAAGTCACTGTTAGTTATCTCACCAATATTAAATACTGAAACTGTGACTTCTCAGGTGAACAAGAGACAAAAAGCAAAAAAATGAAATAAAAACAAAAAGAAACAGAAAACAGTAAAAAGATCATCAAATAAATAAAAATAACTTATTCCTCTGTTATACTTGGTATAACTGCTTTCAGGGACAAAGCATGCACACAGAGAAAGTGCAACAAGTGTGTTCCATCTAGGAAAGAACTTAGAAATATTGTTCCCAAACACCACTGAGCTCCGGCACCAAAGAATCATGCTCTCTGATATTCAGCTAAGTTTTTATCAGTCAAAAAGTTTAAGAACAAACATTTTCTAAAAATGTCACCTACTGCATAAAGCCTATCTACAGATATTCTCCTGTATTCTCCTATGTATTCTACTGTGAAGCACTTTTAAGATGCACAAAAAGCATCACATATGAAATATTAATCTGAACACTAGTGCTGGAGACTATGTATCAGATTTGTAGTATCTAAACTGTATGAATGTTAAAAACAGAATGTATTTTTTCCAGAAGGGGACACGAACAAGCTCAAGAAGTGGGCCCATGGGAACCTCATGAGGCTCAACAAGGCCAAATGTAAGGTCCTGCACCCACTATCAATACAGGCTGAGGAGAAGAAGGGATTGAGAGCAGCCCTGAGGAGAAGGACTTGGGATACTGGTGGATGAAAAGCTGGGCATGAGCAAGCAGTGTGTGCTTGCAGCCCAGAAAGCCAAGCATACTCAGGGCTGCATCAAAAGAAGCATAGCCGGCATGTCAAGGGAAGTGATCCTCCCCCTCTGTTCTGCTCTGGTGAGACTCTACCTACTGCATCCAGCTCTGGAGTGCTCAGAACAGGAAAGACATGGACTTGTTGGAGTGGGTCTGGAGGAGGGCAACAAAAATGGCCAGAGGGATGGAACACCTCCCCTACGATGATGGGCTGGGAGAGTTGGGGTTGTTCAGCCTGGAGAAGAGAAGGCTCCAGGGAGACCTTACTTTAGCCTTTAAATACTTATAAGGGGCTTATAAAAAGATGGGGACAGACTTTTTTGTAGGATCTCTAGTGACAGGACAAGGGGTAATGGTGTTAAACTAAAAGAGGGCAGATTCAGACTAGAAATGAGGCAGAAATTCTTTACAATGAGGGTGGCGAAACACTTGAATAGGTTGCCTGTAGAGGTGATTGATGCCCCATTCCTGGAAACACTCAAGGTCAGGCTGGATCAGGCACTGAGCAAACTGATCTAGTTGAATATGTCCCTGCTCACTGAAATGGGGTTGGACTAGATGACCTTTAAAGGTCCCTTCGAACCCAAACTGTTCTGTGAATCTACATTTATCCTGATCTCTTAAATAGTTCTAGACCGTGCAAATCAAACAACAACCTTGTGTATGATCATGAGACAATGTACTTCTCTCCATATACCCATTATAGAGAAAAAATTGGTATCCACGAACTTGCGCATGAGTTGAAAACTAACTTCCTCCACATCTACCAGACAGCATAAAACCGAACCCATAAACCATCCTTACATCGGAATACACAGGTATACACAGGTCCCTGCAGTTGCTGATGTTACAGCCGACAAAGATTTTATTTTGCAAATGAATGAGTTCAAGAACTCAAAACATGTCTACAATCCATGTAATACTGATATAGATTTATTAATATAGATTTGACACTCTAATATTTGTCCAAATTGTGATTCAAATTGTGGCCTTCAAACAGCGTTAAATTCTGCAGATAACTGGCTGAATAAAAAGGTGGCTTGATGAACTTTAACTGCCTAACTATTTTCAAACAAGTAAAAAACCCAGAACAAAAAAAAGAAAAACTGTAAAGCCCACAGCAAATCATATTCAATATCGATAATAAAAGTAAAAGAATACTTTCTGGCTTAAAATCCTTCAGCTACAAAACTTTTTTCTTCTTCAGCAATAAAACTCCTTACTTAACCAGATTAACTTCTGTATTAGCAGCACAGATTGAGAATCTTGTCACAAATACAGCACACAATATAGCTTGCAAACATCAGAAAGTTGAAAAAGGTACAGCTACAAGTACAGAATCATAGAATCATTAAGGTTGGAAAAGACCTCAAGGATCATCAAGTCCAACCGTCAACCCACACCACCTAACTCACTAAACCATGTCCCTAAGCATCACATCTACACGTTTCTTGAACACCTCCAGGGATGGTGACTCCACCACTTCCCTGGGCAGCCTGTTCCAATGCCTGATCACTCTTTCAGTGAAGACATTTTTTCTAATATCCAGCCTAAACCTCCCCTGGCACAACTTAAGGCCATTTCCTCTTGTCCTGTCACTTGTTACTTTAGACTCAATGAAAGTACTTCCAAGATGAAAGCTTTTAGAAAAGTATTAAAACCTTCACTAAGGGTACATTTCAAGGATGTAATAACATTTCAGGACCTACGGACCAGATGAACATGAGTGTATGAAGAGATAAACTAATGAAAAGCATGCACAAGTGTTTAAATCAACTTGACAATCTATGACAGACTTCTATGAAAAAAAATGTACTGTTTAAAAATGTAAAAACAGAATAGATTTTCTCCTAAATCTAATTTGGTCATGAGTCCAAATCGCGTTAGACAGAGTTACAAGTATTCATCAACCATTGGGGAATAACCTGATAATATCAGAGGACAGGAGGAAATATACAACAGAGTCTAAGTATTCAATTTAGCAGGAAAGAATAATCTATAGAGGTGGAAGTTTTTTTCTGAATTGAAATAATAATTTAAGTTTCTGGTGACGACAGCTGAGTATGTCTATCAATGGATGTTCTTATTTTCTTGCCATTTGAATAGCAAAGTGAAGCTTAGCTGTCACCTACACATCTCCAAGTATTTATTTGTTCTTATGTTACCAATAATTTACAAACATGCCATCTACCCTGACTGATGCTTCTGTATATTACGCACCTTCCACAAAGCACAGATGGTACTGTCTACCATCACTGACACTAATCTTCCCGAGTAATCAAACTCAGTTGAGTTTTAGAACTCAACTGATTAGAGGCCTAACAATTTAACTCTCTAAAGCCTGTATATGAGTGCCAGATGCTCTGTTAACACTTTGCGATAGCAAATGCACGTGTAATTCTAAGGCCTCTTAAGACAGGATCCAGATGTTGCTCCATTATTTCCTCTGTACTGTCACAAGAAAACTGGCTTAGCACTGTAATTAACCACTGCATATGTTCACTACAGAGATGGTGCAGGAAAGACATGTGCTAACAAACGTGATACTCATAAATAGAGTATATTTGAATGAAGAAATCTGAACAATGAAGAGTGATTCTCCACAATGCCAGCTTTCAAACACCTTTAAAATTTTCAAGTATTTGAAGGGATGCATCTCAATCCAGCTGGCACGGCATCTCTCACGCACCTGTTTGAGGATTCTGGCTATAGATCCTTGATCCATTTTGCTAGTGACTGCATCTTTTCTCAGTCTTGCAGCTACAGTTCCAAGATAGTCAAGTGAAGCAACTCTTAATGCCATTTCTGTAGATTTGTTACTGAACTGGTGAACCTAAGAAAAACAGAATAAACTGTTAAAAACAAGCATGTATTCATGCAACTGATATTCTTCTCACAAGAGATTGCTTGACCTTGTTAAAAATTCCACCTAACTTCCATGCTGCATAAAACTATGTAATTTACTATTACATCACAGATACACTACTTACTTTCCGTTCATGATTCTTTGCTCTCTCTCTCTCTCTACAAATATGCCTGTTAGAGCTTTTTAAAATACATACTTTCACGAAATAAACCGGACAACTCTTACAGGAGATACCCTTTACAGCAGCGTAGATCTTAAGCCCTATAAGGCTACCTCCTCATTATGGACACAGTATAAAGAAAGCTACATTTGACCAGGAACAGGGCCATAAAGTACTTTTTCCAATAAACAGGTCAAATTACTGTGTTAATTACATAGCAGTACTGAACAACAACTCTCAAAAACCAGTTTAACAAAAATATTCACATTCTGTAAAATATCATAAGTAAATGACATTATTGGTAAAAAAACAAACCACTGAATTGTTTTCAGGTTCTGTGCTAAAGCAATAGTCCAGAGAAGATACTTAGCATGAATAATTACAGCCATTAGTCTGACTTTATTCCAAATTAATATCTACACTTATTAGATGCCATGAAAATGTCATGGAATAGCGGAAGTGGACTTCCATGAGAAACTGTATACATATGATCTTTAGCAAGTTCCATATCCATGATCCTCTAACACAAATTTTACCATCTATGTATCACAAAGTAGTGATGTGCATAAGAAAATTTTTAAATGCTGTGTGTCAACAAACAGGAAGCATTTCTGTAGTAGTTTCAGCTGAATAAACAAGTCTCCATCGTAATAAGAAATAAATTAACAGAATTGTTAAAACCAAGAATCCCTTACCAATAGCCTTCCTAATAAACTAAGTAGCAACTCTGCAGCTGGCCATTCTGGTTTATTGACTGTAGAAAGAAGATCTTGAATGAAGTTCTCAAACAGTGGCCTGTAATCTTCTTCCCCTTGTTTACTGCCACACCTTAAAAGAAAATGCATTTTGTAAGTGAATTTAAGAGCCATTGAAGGTTTTCTTCCTATGTAAACAGAAGTAATCCTATGTTTAATCAGAAAAACTTTTATGCAGTTAAAAAAAAAACTAAATATGAGCAGAAGAATGTTTTATTCATTTATGGAGAAATAGTTTAAACAGTTATCACTCCAAGGTGCACTGCAAGTAACGCAGCTAATCCACAATAGTAGAATTTTGTTCCTAAGATTTTCTTATTTATTGTTGGATGGACAAAGCAGGTAAATTCCAAAGCTCAAGCTGGAGTGGTGTATTTAGGAGCTGTTGTGTCTATATTGCTTAAGCTTGGTCTAATTTATCTGACAGTGACATGACGTTTCAGTATTGTGCTCCACAAAGGTTAAAATCAGAACGTAAAAAACCTGAAAGATAACATACCTGATTGTGTTTCACTTATATGTGGCATCCCTAACTTTAATGATACCAGAAGTATGCAGAGAGATTGCTAGATGGCTATTAAATAGCTTTTTGGCTTAAGGGAAGAAATTAACACAATAAAAACCTCAGGATTCTTAAAAATCCTTTGGTTATTCAGGTATACGATTTTTTTTTTTCCCCTGTTGAGCCACTGACATTCTTAAGTTTAGCTAAATTAAAGTAACTTTCATTTTTTTTTATCTTTGTAATTCTGATGACTGAATGAATACAGTTTCACTGCTTAAATGTTTACTCAGCCTTCTCTTTCAGGCTTTAGATTAGTAACAGACCCCTAGTTAAAGGATCCTACATGAACTATCAAACAGATTCTTAAACGTATAAAGAACTCCCTGCAGAATTTCTGTTCCATAAAATTTTCTTCCAGATGGGTAGCTCTCTTCAGGATCTATAAAGTATATTGTTATAAGTAAATGTATGAGTAGGTATTTTGCATTGCTAAGTGGTTAGGTTTGTCTTAACGTATGACAGACTTTATTTGGAGTTGGTTTCATCAATACGCTAAAGAATGCAACAATACTTACTTCTTAAGGAAAATAGAAAGGAAGTTTTGTGCTGTTCTCATGGCTGTTTCATATGAGTTCGTAATAAGCACATCTTGATCCACCTAAAAATAATACAATATATTTGTCTATTATTTTAGCATGCGCAGAAATACGATTTCCAGATCAGCATTTGTCATGCTTCAAATAATTACAGCAGACATAAAATTACAATGGTTGACTACTAGAGCACCATAACAAAATATTATGTTTACAAGCACACGCAGTCATTCCTGCACAAAAAAAAAAAAAAAAAAGAAAATAAATTATGGCTTTTAAAAAAATCTTACTTTTTTATTTGATTCCTCCTCTGAATTAGAATCTTTGTCTGCTGATGGTAAGTGCACTACACACTGAATAAGCTGCAGAACTAGTGCTGTTACCATCTGAATATACATAGGCTCTCCATCAGTGTCACTGCTGTTTAACCTGTTAATAAGAAAAGACAGCATTAACACAAACCAAACAAAAATTACAAAACAGACCAAAAATTTTTGGTCCTAAATAATATCTTTCTAAAATTATTACCACAGCTAGAAATCTGTATCTGCATTTATCTAGTAATTTGCTTCTCTCTTATGCAGTGGAAGATTCAGTCTAACAGAACCAGTAAGTATTATTCTCAGGCAGAAGGGATGAACCACAGACCACAGATGGTCTATCAGAGTACCTATGAAGTTCAGCAGCAAAAAAGTCTACAGGAATGTTTAATGAATCAAACACCCACACGCTAAGGCATTTACTAATAGGCTTACTATGTATAATGCCATATCCATTTCCAACACAAGACAAAAAAATACAGCAAACTCTTGCCCTGATAATTTATTACTTTAATATTATTTTAATGTATGTGAAATGCACAGGACATAACACAGTGTTTAACACACATTTAACAGTGTTGTGTTAAACAACACAAAATAGTGACCGTAACCTGGACTGACTTCTACAAGAAATAAACACCTATGGTAATCTGAGGTAGTATAACAGACTATGAACTTCACCATGCAAGTGTCTTTAAGTGTGTCTTAAGTGTGTCTTTATGTTGGTAAAACCATAATGAATGCACACTACATTTCTCCCATGATATAACCCAAGAAACACTGCTGTGTTTACCATCCATACATAAATCAACACCACCTGTTGCCATGCTTAACAATAGGAAAAGGTGGTAATTCCTGACATCGCGGTCCCCAAATTATCAAAATACTAACTGGGAACAAAACAGATTTTAATTATTATCTTTATGAAGACTTTAGAGAGAAAAACTTTTCGTATCAAATTTTGTGTAAGCTGTACCCTTTGTGACAGTAGCCACAGTTAGAGAATGACCTTTAACACATTAGAGTTAGGACTCTATGGATAAACAGTGCAGTTATTGTGCCCTTGAGATAATGACTTCCTTCTGGTACAGCTCCGAATTAAGAGAGTGTATCTACCATTTTATGGTCTTATTCCTACCACCTTCCTATTTGCTAGATATCTCTGATGTCCATAACCAAAACAATAGGAAATTCTAGGAATAAGCACTTAAATTAACATTAGGGCCGCTGAATTCAACTTCAAAGTTTCAGTGTATTTCTCTTCCTGGATATTTCGTGCTCATCCACCCTGGATTGGACAAAATATTTAATTGACAATTTGTCTGTCTCTGGAGGTAAGATGTATGCTAGCAAGGAACAAAATCAACACCACTAACAAATTTTTAGAATAATTTAAACTGTCCCAACCTCAATTTTAACTGAAATCCCATTCAGCTCAAATCCTTTCTCAGACTGAACCTGAACCTATACTATTATTCTGAAGATGCAGCGAAATCCACCTGAAGTGCTTAAAAGACAGTTCAAGTGAACAGAGTAGCTCCTAAATGAAACCCATTCAAAAGATATTAGATTAATTTATTTCCTGGAAAAAGTGTTCTGAGTGTCCTCAAACGTACTCAACCAGAATTTTCCTATTATTAAGCTTTAGCAATGAAGAAATTAAATTAACTCCATACAAACAGAACCAAAGAATTTTCCAACAAAAAACTAGGAAAGCACACTAACATTACACTCCTTTACATCCTCAGTGAGACAAATAATCAGATATTTCAATTATTTTTGTAAGTAGGCACAAATACGATGGCATCAGAAAGAGTAATTATTACAAAACATTTGCCATGCAATTCTGATCTCATTGCTTTGAAATATCAACCTCTAATAAAGCTTGTGGAGTCACAGACTTTTAAAGTAGAAGTTAATACTGAAGCCTAAAATCCTACACCTACAAAACTGTAAAGGCTACTGTCTACAAGATATTAATCTATGTCAGAAATTACCTGAAGTTTCTCAAACTCCTCTTGCTAGTTGGGAGTCTTGCAAGGGAAGTGAAAATTTCTTCTAGTATTAACTGTCTATGTTTCTCATACCTGGAGAACACCTATTCAAGAGTTACAGGACTATTAGAAAATTATTTATTGTTACATAAAATATTGCTTCTTAAATAAATAGTTAAAAATTATACGTAGAAACACACACTTTACGTGACACAAATAAATTATAATTCATTCATACCTTGTTTTTAATGCATGACTTTGTCTTTCAATGCAAGCATTTCTTTATAAAAGACATTAAAACTTTTTCAAATATACACTTTTAAAAACCTTCAAATAACATAAATCTGTAACAGCTCTTAAAAATACCTTATGCTTCAAAAATTTCTGTTCATGGTAGAACACACTGTACAGGAAAGTCAAGCAGTGCAATACTAAGATTTCAGACTCCAGCACAGAGCAAGACTCTGTGGTAAAATAAATTAAGTGAACACAAGTACTGTTGTAGAGCACATTTGAGAAACCAGTTTTACTTCATAGCCCAAGCTTTAATGTCTGCCTGAACACAGAAATCATAGAATCATAGAAATCATAGAATC